TTTTAGTTTCTCTGACGGTGATGATGCGATTTGAGAAGAATGCTTTTTACTACTAGCCTCATACCATATCTTCTTTCTTTTCCTGGCAAACTGAGCGACTAGGACTCGAACTCATAACTGTCAGATTACGCAACTATAACTCGCTAACCGATTAATCTGTGACAGCGCATACTATAGAACAAAATATATATGGCTGCTCTTCGGTTACATTTCATAGTAACATCACTCTTGTGCGAATTTAAAGTCGAATCTTGAAGTGAGACACAAAATTATGACGATTTAGGACACTTAGAAATCAATGAACAACCAGTTCTACCGAAAAATACAATATTTTAGTTCAAGTGTTGGTTTGTAGGGAATTGATTGGTTACAGGATTTCATCATGAGCTGGCATTAGTTAGAGAACCATTGGAAAACCACCTAAAACACTGGGCAGCTGTTTCATCCTAGTTCGGGAATCTTTACAGTACGCACCAATCACGGGGGTTCGAACCTTGGACATTCTGGTTACAAGGCGAGCTCGTATACCATTAAGGCACTGGGACCCCATCCAACGGCCAACCCATGAATTCTTACTTCTACCAATTCACGACATAGCGCGACCCATAGCCAATGCCTTCGGTGAGTATTTGTCCTCACACCCGGTCTGCTACACTCTACTGGTCACGACTTCTCACTGGAACCCCAGGTAACTAGTGCTAGGGGTCGCGCTGTGTCGTGAACTGGCAGAAGTTAGAATTCATGGGCCATTGGATCAGGTCCCAGTCGCTTAATTGTATACGAACTCACCTTGTAACCATAAGGTTCTAGGTTCAAACCCCGGTGGGTGCGTACTGCTGAGGAGACCCAAACTAGGATGAAGCCGCTGTCCAGTACTCCCAGGTGGTTTTTGAATGGTTCTCTGACTAGTGTCAGCTTATGATGAAATCCTGTAAACAATATTTCAGTGTTTATGTTATTATCTGTGCCCAAAATTTAATGTTCGGTGGTTGGAAAGGATTCTTTGGATACTGTGATCTTACGTTCCTTGCTAGTTCGCTATTTGTCAGCTATGTGTACCTGAATTCTTGAAAGAACTGATGTCGTCTCCTTGTAAATTCCAATCTACATCACCGGATGCTGCAGTCACACAGGTTACAACTTAACTATTTGGGCTGGGGACCGACCTTCTTTGAGACTGTATTGGTATCGTTAATTGGTCATACTAAACTAGTGATTAACATATGTGTGACAGTGTTGACCGAATTCTATGACTTATACTTTTAGTGTGGTCACTTAGGTGTGTGAATCGCCAGTGCCAAGCATTTTGAATTGTTTTGAATGGCTTCAAGCAATCTGTAGGAAGCTTACATGCAGTAAGTCCCAGGGATTCGTAGCAATCACTTGGCAAGGGGAAGGCACCAAGCTTGTATCCAACCATCTTGCAAACATTAACACTGATAGAAATGACTTCCTACGCCAACATTAAGGACTGGGACTGGAGAAATGAGAATATTTACTCCGACATGACCCCCCAATCAATGTATCAAAGATGTAACTGCTCTTTGTCTTCTCCAACAGAAAACTGTACAGAATTTATAATTAGAGCTAACTCTGTACTATTAAACTAATCGATATTAATCAATGAAGCTGTATCACAGTATCACAGATCTAAAATTTTTTATACACTTCTTGCTAAACACATACCACGTTAGTGAGAATATTTAAATTTGTGAGATCATCCAATTGGCTGCAGAGAATCTGTTTACGGATTTCAAATGGTGTGATTAAAAATTATTCACCACATTTAATCACCTAGTTCGGAGTTCGATTCCTGGCCAGTGCACACCTTAATCTCACTTAGCTGGTTGTAATAGTGACAAAGGGAGGGGGAGGTTCGGTATGAGGCAATCAACCCTACCTCTTAAGAAACACCACTGTTACTGAATTCTCAAGACTCAAGCTTGAAGCCGCCTTATGTTCTTCTGAGAGCGCAAAGGAATAAAAATGAATAACAGTTATCACCCATAACTTATTCTAAGTTCTTATCTGCTATTTCCTAGATCACATTACATAATCATTTTAGCACCATTATGAATTGTGGTTTTACTTGAACTGAAGCAAAACGGTCCATGTTATTTAGTGGAGTGGTCAATACTGTCAAAATATTTACCAGCCAAATTACTTTACGATTTAGTGTGATCACCAATTGATATTAATTAGTGAATCATTGAAAGCTAGGAAGTATTAGTTAACTGTTTCATCCTAGTTTGGGACTCTTCAGCATTATGCACATATGAAGCTCGCGCTTAGTGCTGATTCTGAGACTACCAGATAACAAGACGAGCTCGCTTGGCATTCAAACACCGTGAAACATTTAATGGCTAGCTGACCACCATGCGATGTCATCGACGAGTAAATGTCCTCTCATCCAGTGTGGTGAACCTCTCTGGTCACGAATTGCCACTAGGAGTGTTCAGTCGACTTAATCTTATATTGTGTCGCTAGTGATCGATAAATCAATTTTCAAGTGTTGGTTTGTTGGAATTTAATAATAATGATACGTTTTTCTGTAGTTTGGTTTTGTAAGGGTTAATTATGTTTTTATGAGTTGATCACGGATCAATATCAGTTAGAGAACCATTGAAAACCAGCACTGGAGTACTGGACAACTGCTGTTTCATCATAGTTTGGGAATCATCGGCAGTACGCACCCACTACAGGGGTTCGAACCCAGGACCTTCCGGGTTACGAGGCAAGCTTGTATACCATTCAGCCACTGGGACCCGGCACCTCAATGGCCAGTCTATGAATTTTAACTTCTACTGACTCGTGATTTAGCGCGACCCCAACCATTGTCGTATGCGGGACATCTACTCACACACGTGACATTTAATTAGACCTCACTGGTCACGATTTTTCACTAGAACTGACTTCAGAAAACTCCATCCCTGGTTTTCAATGGTTCTCTAACTGATATTGATCCATGATCAACTTATAAAAAAATAATGATATGCTCTGAGACAGTATGAAATTCTTAGTATTTCGTGCAATGTTGTATCTTACTTGCTCTACAATAGCGCCTCAGACTCTTTTTACATAGAACGCGGCCATAACAAACAGAATATTATTGAGTTTTTGTACCTGACTGTATGGGCATATAATCTATTACAATGACTTCCAGTCCTATCTGATGAGATGTAAGGTGGGGGTATTGAAAGTGAGATAATCTTGATTTAGACTATTTATCACATAAATCCACGTTTCCGTCAACTACAGCAGTAACGATCAGATTTAGTGGCACACCACTTACCCTGCTGACAACATTTAATACTCTCTGCATTATGACATAGTCTTTAATATTCAAGTGTCGCTTTGTAGGGATTTGATTGGCTTACAGGATTTCACCATGAGCTGACATTAGTTAGAGAACCATTGGATAACCTGTGAGTACTGGACAGCTGTTTTGCCCTAGTTTTGGACTCTGCTTCATCAGTACGTACCCATCATGGGGGTTCGGACCCATGACCTTCTGGTTGCAAGGCAAGCTCGTATACCATTAAGCCGCTGGGACCCGCTCCAATGGCCCATGAATTCTAACTTCACGACATACCGCGACTCCTAGCCAATGTTTTCGGCGAGTATTTGTCCTCACACCTGACCTGCTGCACCCTAGTCTTTAATAAGTAGCCCAGGAGAGACTAAGGGTTTTTTGGGGAGGGGGAGTACATTAAGCATGATGGAAGAATTAAAAAATTGTAAAAGTAGAGGTTGAGCGATTCCTAATTCGATTAACTTCTTGATATAGTAGGTTAAATGGTACATTTTCCTAGAAGTCGACATGATCACATCGATGCTTGAAGGTTAAGTTAACTATCTGACATTTAGAGGGATTTAATGTAGGACCATTTAGCTTAGACCACTGGTTTGTGCCTGACAGAAAGCTTCTAATTTTGCAACAGACAGATCGGGATGTAACTGGCAACGAGACAGTCAGACAGATCATCAGCACATCTGACGAATTTGATTTCATCCGAAAGTGGCAAATCATATTCGGGTTTGATCATGAATTGACACTGACTTCAGAGCTGACAGAAATCATTAAAAACTGTTTGCGAATCCATCTGACAGCAATTTCACATCACAGTTCATGGCTTTTTAGATTATTGATGATTAGACTGAATTTTACGATGAAATTCTTATCAGCTATGATGACACTTGTCAATGTTTAGACATTCACCTCCGTGTACTAACGAAGATCTGTAGTTCTGAAGTTGTGGAAAAATATTTATGGCTTTCAAATGGTAACTTATTGATAGTACTATAGTTCCTACGCTGAATGATTTCTAAGAAATGCCTTCATTGTGCCTCTAGAAAATGTAATGTAACCTATTGAAATCCTTCGTGGCTTAAATATTTATTTCATCTGTGGAATTTCACTGTCATTGGTTGTCCTCATCAATTTCCTTAAAATTATACATTTTACTTATAATGCTATTGATCGCTTCCTTGACCGAATATCTGACCTTTTGATCGTCCATATCAATTTACGTTGAAATTTAAAATTTATCTAGAATAATGTAACAACTATAGACAGGGAAATATAAAGAACTCTAGAGGTTTGGCAGTCAAATCAATTGCCAGTTTTTGGGCATGTTTATATAGATCAGGTTTATTAATCAATAAAGAATAAGACACATGACCGAATGGTCAAATATCAGTTCAATGGGGGACCAATCAGAAGGCAGTCCACAGGAACAGCCAATCACAGCGAAGGTCACCAAGTGGACAAATAAAATACATTTCATCCGTGGATAATTCCCAAAATTACACATCGTAGTTTAAGTTAGCACTGAATATGTTGTCCGGAAGGATAACGAAACCTTCACATTCATGCCATCCATCCGACAGACATCAGTCTACAGCTTTATTATGACAAGATGCTATTTTGTAAATCTATGTTTGTGTTTGTCTGTTACACCCCACTATCATTATGGCTACTTATATTTCTGTCTATTCAGGTTCAACAGAGGATGTCCATCAGATTGCTGTTGACTGGTTGTCAATGATCTATATGCTCACATATATCCCACTTATCTTTCCATCGACATGGATACTTGATAAATGGGGTCTACGAGTAACCATGCTGGTCGCTACAGCATTGAATGCAGTCGGTGCATGGGCTAAGTGTATCGCTGGTGCAGTCACTTATGAACCACGACCAAGCTTAGCCAATCAAACTATTCCATGGGATCATAAACTTGGTTTTCCAATACTTATGATTGGACAGACTATTTGTGGGATTGCTCAATCAGGCATTCTGGGGATACCAGCACATTTAGCAGCGACATGGTTTGGAGAGAATGAAGTTTCCACTGCAACGTCTTTCGGGGTTTTCGGAAATCAGGTGAGACAGTGTGTGTGCGTGCTTGTGTATTCTTTTTGTTATTATACGACTTACAGCCATGATCAACTTGATTTCCTTTTATCTCTTTGAGATCTTTAAACCATCCTATTTTAAAATGTCATTCATATACTTAGTTTATTGTCAAAAAGTATGCCAGCCCATGATTAAAAGCCTAGCCAATCAAATTCTCTATCTGCGAATCATATTTTGCCACGTTAACTTTGCTGTGATTGGTTGTTGACTCAGCCTTGTTCATATTTTCTCACGGCCCATATTAACGCAGCTTAGTGTCAACCAATCGGCTAGCAGCCTGCTCTCACCACACTACTACTCACCAGTGAATGGCTCTCGGTTGACGTGGGCTGGCGGCTGTGTTATGTATCGTCAGCTAGCAGAAGTTAATACTTCGTGGTTCACCGCATCAGGCAACAGTGGCTGACTGCGTTTGAACCCCGGTGTGTACGTATCGCTGATGAAGAGTCTCAAGCTAGAGATGAAAGAGGCTGTTAAATTCTCTTCGATGTCTTTCCAGTGGTTCTCCAACTAACTTTAACTAATGATTAAACCAGCAGCCAATCAAATCCTTGAAAACCGACACTTCCAAGAAGATATGTGGTGTATTCGTGAAAGGTACACATACACACAGAACCGCATATCTGCTTGTTTAATCTGTTTTCATAGTGGAATATGTAAATGGACGGTAACTCCTAAATACACCTCTTTTACAGTTGTTCATTTTATTTTTAGATGAACCCTATTAGAAATTATTGGAAGTAGGATGGCAATGAACACCTGCTTTACTTTCGAGCTAGTGAACTTCTCAACATCTGATATCCCTGACCATTCGATTGCTTTAGGCAAGAACTCTTAGGTTTGATGAGAGTATTTATACCGCTGAATCCAGGAACTGATAGCCTAATCAGTATATATTATCCTTGGCTGGCAATACTCACAGTAACGGCTGAAACTGAGTTTCAACATAAGACTTTGCATAGAAGTGCATTATCAGTTCATGTTGTCACCCTCTATTTAGCGCACACTCACAAAGGTCGAGAAAAGAGTGATTTAAACAATTATAATGAGCAGAAAAATGTTTGAGTAAGAATGGTAACATGGAAAAACATGTTGGTTTCATGCATAATCGAAATTACAGAGAGGTGTGAATGTACCCCTATGACAATGTGAATGATCCCGACTCATATCACTAATAGTCGCCAGGCATTGGCTGTATGAACTCCGAGAACCTTGACCAAGATGCCCAACCCTCCTCATATGGCTCAAAACAAATGCTTAAAACCCTATCAAATGACTCCAGATTCTGGTTTAACCGCCACTGATTCTTTTCCAGCCTAAACCCTCCAACCTCTTTGTCAGCTAGCGTTGCTCGTTAAAGGAAGACGTTAGCTTAGAGTGCATAACACTCGTTCAAGTCATGTCAATCGATGTAGTTTGACAACTATACCGAATGACTTCTCTTACATACCTGGCACTCTACGTCTCATAGTTAGTGCGCACTATGGAAAATTTTGTACACTCTTTATGTCGCCAAGAATTGGTTTAGCCAGAATAGATATTTCCTTCAGTTATGTGTTAGTCGCTGTTTTAACAAGTACCAAACGATGATACTATCCAGTTGAGCAGTCTAAAATAGGTGTAATGTGGTTCAAATGACCTGAACCTGTGGTTTCAACTGATGATGAAACCTGACCTTTATATCAATTTGATGCCTGTAGTGTCAACTTTAAATCCACTACTTATTTGTCTGATTCTGGTTAGCACATCGTTAATCTGAGAGGAGGCAGGAATAGGATAATCATATAGTTAGGCAAATGCATCCATCCATCACTTAAGAGTGAACAGTATTCATTGCCTAGTTTCTGGTGTCTATGATAGCTCAACTCTTCTAGTCATGTTTGTAATGTGACCTACCAAACTAGATGACTTGTCATCGTGATGTACTTCCTGAACATGTGACTTGTTGGTCGAAGTAAACTGACAGCTAGTCAGCTAAGTGTATTTAAAACGTCATACCTACGTAATTCAGCGCTGTAGTCAGAAACGTTAACGCTGAACTGTTTGGGCTGCCAACTGTACAGAATTACTACGCTGTTATTGTCATTTGGTTCATAGTTGGACATATCGAGGGCTTCAACAGCACATCTTCATTTCATTGTGTCCTCTGAAATACTGTTTGGTTGGCTTCACTATTATGCATAAGCCCTCATCTTCTCTTCATACTATGTCCTCCATATAACCGTTGGACGTACACCCAACCCGTCGTTTCCTATTCAGGTTCCATTTGAGCGTCTGGAGCGCGATGTCACACAACCGTCTCTTAGGCGTGTACCCGATACATCCCCATTTTCTTCACTATATCTGTTGGACAAGTTTTTTCGATTGGTTTAATTCCTAGAGTTTCTTGTCACCAATGTCTTATGGTCCTCCATCTGATTGATCTTGAGTATAGAACGAAGGCAGCTATTGATAAAAGTCCGAAGCCTATTCAAAATGCTTTCCATGAAGCGCTCACCAAGCCTGTGAAGCGTATAGAAGGACTGAGTTGAAAATATGAACCTTGTTCTTTATGTTGATCGAAATAAACTTCAAAACTCATTTCAGAGCGATGAAGTTTCACCTTGCCTTCTGGATCCTGTTGTCCACTACCTGTAGTTGAAATGATGTTTCCCAGATCAGTTAGGTGAAAAATGTAACATGCTTTAGATTTCTTTTATTGATCGCGATTGATTCTTGTCGTTATTGTTGGCTAGGCATCCTCATCACCTCTCTGCATCTCTCTCCTTCCTTTATATTCACTTGAATTCCTGCCTTTCACCTGGCAACCTCTTCTTCCAACTTACTGGTTTCTGACTTTTCAAAACATAAAAAATTAGAATCCTCTTATCAGTGAAACATATTTCTGTGTTCTCGCTTTTCATCCACCCAGTCCACCATAATCGGGAATACCATCGGTGATATAGGATAGCTAGTATGGTCGCTAAACTATATAAAATCACCATCATGGTATACTATGAAAAGGTGGAAGACAGCTGAAGCCAGTCAGCAAGCGGCCCCTGAGCTAGATTTCGCATACTTTACCATGTTGTTTTTACGACTTTGATCACGTTCCCAGTGGCTGAATGGTCGACGAGCTTGCCTTGTAACCGGAAGGTCCTGAGTTCGAAACCCTGTGTAGTGGGTGCATGCTGCCGATGATTCCCAGACTAGGTTGATGAAACAGCTATCTGTCCCGTACTCCACTGCTGATTTTCAATGGTTCTCTAACTAATATCAATCCATGATCAAACTTGAGGGAAAAAATCTAATCCTTACAAACCAACTCGTGAAAATACTTTACCATTCACCAAAAAAAGGTGTTTGTCCTACGTGAAATAAAAGATCTACATATGTTGGAAAAAAAGAAGCCTTTTTGAAGCCAATTTCTTGAAGAATCGACTTTACTGCGTGTCGTACCTCCCTTGTTTATAAAATGTCAAGATGAGGTGAGTGACATGCGTCCTATTCTTCTTTTGAAAATGAACTTGATTTATAAAAAAAAAGAATCACGCTAACTAAATAATGTCATGTATGTGTTTGAACTCTTAGGTGAATAATTTTGTGATTTTTGTCACATGAAGAACACAAATTATTATTTGAGTGCATATTAGTAATTCAATATTACGCATAAAATGTATAACACAGTCTAGAATAATGCACTTATGATAACAGTTCATTGTGATGTATATTCATTTGGGTTTAGATTTCTGCATAGAATTAATCTGCATTTATTCCGTCCGCTTTGATGAATTTGTAAATAAAGCAAGAACAACACTGGCGATTTGTGCAGAATAAGACGATGGTACCATCATTGGTTATTTCGTTAGCTTCTCAATAGCTTCTGCTTGTAGCCTAAACCAGTTATGAGGTTTATGTATAGAAAAATTCTTACATCCTTGAAAATTTTCGCATGATATCAGCTGACAGGAGGTTCCGTAATTAGTGAACATTGCTCAGAAATTTGCGCTGATGTAGGTTTTACACAAACAGTTCAAGTTTAAGCAAAATAAATGTATGCATGCATACAATGGTAAAGAAGTTGCGTAATACAGATGAGAGATGCATAAGATGCTGAGTGACTAATAAGTTAGGTTACAATGTACTGAATTTAACTGGTGGATGGTGACCTGTTAAATTCTAATTAAATACCCAGACATTGTTGGTGGATCTCCACAAGAAGCCAACATGTCAGCCTGAGACCGAACATATCAGATAAATAAATCGATGGGAAAAATCTAAAATTGATTTCAATAAATAACGAATATGACCCGTTGCACAACAGGTGGCTCTCGTGGCCCAAGTGGTCTAGTGGATAAAGCTTTAGCGTTTGAAACTCGAGCACTGGGTTCGAGCCTAGATGGGAACGTTATCACTCACTGGGAAATGCAAGTACATCCAGCTGACGAGTCCCAAATAGGATGAAATGCGCGTTATCATGGATTCCACTGCTAGCCACCACCCACCAATTGTATACTAATTAAATACCCAGACATCGTCGGAGCATCTGCATAAGAAGAAGCCGACATGTCAACCTGAGACCGAGCACTTCGGTTCAATCAATCGACGGGAAAATCAAAATTATTCAATTAAAACAATGTACTGAGTTCAACTCAAATCATAGAAACAAGAGACAAGCAAAATTACAAATTATATAAAGGAGTGATTACGTAATCAAATGAATGAGAGAATAAAGACATTCATTTACTAGGGCAAGGAAAGACTGACTGATAACTGTTTCTTTCTGAACACATAAATCTTGTTTTCAAGCGTTTGATAGAGATTGCTTCGGTACACTGGAGGAGAATAGAGCTACTTTGTGTATTGGTAATATTAAAGGATTTTGTGATTTCTACTTAATGACCCGTATCACTTAGATGTCTGGTAATGTCACCACTGTAAGCGTCTGCTCCATTGAGATGTAGGCGGTTTGGCTCATGTTCAGAAAA